GGGAGCAGCTCCAGGCAGGCACAGCCACCCCAGGGTGAGGGGTGAGTGCCTGAGGCACGGCTGGAGCTGAGCTCAGCGCTCAGGAATGTGCAGGGATGGTGTCACCAGGGAYGGTGACAGCTTTGCTGTTGGGGACAACAAAAGCCACCTCGGCTGAGGTCACAGCCTGGTGGTGCTGAAGCTCCTGAGATGATTCCCAAAGCCACATCCCGCTCCAGAGAGGGATCAAAAGATCCTTTGATGCTCCATGAGGTCATCGAGTCCAGYTTGTGACCTGACACCACCTYGTCACCAASTCCACATCCAGCYTTGGCTTAAACACCTCCGGGCTTGGTGACTGCAGCACCTCCCTGTGCAGGCAATTCCAACCCCAATTCCATTTTTTATGAAGAAATTCCTCATCATGTCCAGCCTAAATCCCCTTGTGCTGGTGTTCCCTGGGAGCAGGGGGTTTGTGGAGGGTGATGAAGCCTCCCTGACCTTTTTCTCAGGATGAGCACCCCAGTTCAGCCACTGCTCCCCACAGCCCTTGTGTCCTCTCCCTACAGACCAGGAAATGTTGAGGAGCTGCAAGAATTTCCCGAAAGACAAATGTAGAACACTAACAAGGGATTCCAGAGGTGCCAGGGGTTCTGGAGGTCCTGAAGGTTCCAGAGATTCTGGATGTTCTGGAGGTGCCAGGGGTTCTGGAGATGCGAGAGGTGCCAGGTGTGCTGGAGGTTCCAGTGGTGCCAGTGGTGCCAGGGGTTCTGGAGATCCTGGAGGTGCCAGGGGTTCTGGAGGTTCCAGGAATTCTGGAGGTTCCAGAGGTCCTGGACGTGCCTGGGGTTCTGGAGGTGCCAGAGGTGCCAGGGTGCTGGAGGTTCCAGAGGTGCCAGGGGTTCTAGAGGTCTCTGAGGTTTCAGAGGTGCCAGGGGTTCTAGAGGTCCCTGAGGTTTTGGAGGTGCCAGAGATGCCAGGGGTTCCAGGGGTTCTGGAGATCCTGGAGGTTCTGGAGGTGCCAGAGGTTCTGGAGGTTCCGGAGGTCCAGATGTGCCAAGGGTTCTGGAGGTTCCAGAGGTTCTGGAGGTTCCAGAGGTTCTGGAGATGCCAGAGATTCTGGAGGTTCCAGAGGTGCTGGAGGTGCCAGGGGTTCCAGAGGTGCCAGGGGTTCTGGAGGTGCCAGGGGTTCTGGAGGTTCTGGAGGTTCCAGGTGTACCAGGGGTTCTGGACATGCCAGAGACGCCGAATCAAATCTCCAACAAAACAACTCCCAATTCTCCCCCATCCTCTTCCCACCAACATTTCCTCTGACTCTCCTGGGCAGGAGAAGCTCCGGCTGCAGGGCCAGATCACCGAGGGCAGCAACATGATCAAAACCATCGCGTTCGGCCGCTACGAGCTGGACACGTGGTACCACTCGCCCTACCCCGAGGAGTACGCGCGCCTCGGCCGCCTCTACATGTGCGAGTTCTGCCTCAAGTACATGAAGAGCCAGACCATCCTGCGGCGGCACATGGTGAGCCTGGAATGGGGAAATGGTGCCTTAACGGGCAG